ATTTTGATTCTTTTCACTCTTACAATCATCACTTATTGCCAGGCTAAGAACTCAAATATTGTTTAGTAAATGGAAAACAAACAAACAATATTTCTATTTTTTAAATATTAGTAAGTGGAATGAATACCAGTCACAGTACTGTGTTTAACGGTTAATGCCTGTTCCATCTCTCCCTCTAAAAGTAAAATGACTAAGTAGATGCAATTCCTGGGGAGTCCTGATGTCCACTGGGTTAAGCATTGGGCTGGGAACTGAAAGGTTGGTGGTTCAAATGCACTAGCCATTCCTTGGGAGAAAGATGAAGCAGTCTGCTTCCGTAAAGATTTAGAGCCTCAGAAACCCAATGGAGAAATTATACTCTGTCCTATAAGTCAGAATTTACTCAACAGCAGTGGCTATCCAGTAATATTAAGATACAAGCTCTGTAATTTTCATCAATGTTTGAAGAACTAAAAGCTAACTAAAGAGAAACACACACAACTCTATTAGTCTTGAGGAAACTGAAAAACAAAATCACAATAAGCTACCTTTTCAGGATAGAAATGCCCCTTTAGGTATCTGTGACTATAAATCTTCATTGGGCCAGATAATCTCATCTTTCTTCTGCAGAGTGGCTTGTGGGTTCGAAATGCTGACCTTTTGGTTGGCAGCAAACCTCGTAACCAACTATATACCACCAGGGATCCTTAGGTACTATGTTATGTCCTTTGAATACCCTTCAGGCATCTGCAAAATGGGGGGGTGGGAGGGGGAACCACTGCATGTCAACTAACTCCCCTCCCTAAGCCTTAGCCAAATTTCAGATCTTCTCTTTATTAACTCCCGAGGGAAAAAACCAGCCTTTTCTTAACACACCTCTATCCTTTTGAATTTTAGCTTTCCTCTCTCAGACTTGGTTATCCCTTATCCACAGCACTATGGCTGACATAATCATGCATTAATATGCATGGATTCATCAGTTTAATTGATGTGTTTTCCTTTGCATTCAATTAAGGTCGTTCTTTAGTACTCACATTTCTAAATGTGTATTCAATGTTTCCATTTGCTTCCCATGAATCATCTCAAATGCAACACATCTAAATGGGAGGCCTCTGCATCCCTCTAAAACCAACTCTCCATTAGACTTTTAAATTGCTTCCCAGGCGACCACGGTTTACTCTTGTCAAACCCAACCAGTCTGAAAATACCTTAGGCATCTCCTCTCTTGGGTTAGGGGCTCTCACACACTAAAGTCTACAATACCCTTTCCGTGTCATGGTTTTTTTTTCTCCCTTTGTTACTGGTAGGTGCCGTGTAGTCAGTTCCGGCTCACAGAGAGCCTATGCACACAAGGAAACAAGGCCCAGGCTCGTCTGTCTTGTTCCCTCCTTGCCATTGTTACGCTTGAGTCATAGCTGCAGCCACTGGGTCAATCCATCTTGTCAAGGGTAGTTCCCTCTACTTTACCAAGCATGATGCCCTTTTCATTGATTGCTCCCCGATCCCCTTCACCTTATTTTAAGCCATTCAGTATTACCTTGTTCTTTTTATACAACCACCATTTGATCCATGTACAGGTTACACATGCGCACAATGAAGCAGTCTGGAATCCCCATTCTTCTCAAAGCTATCCACAGCTTCTTACAATCCACACAGTCAAATGCTTGTGCATAGTCAATAAAACACGCTTCTCACAATCCACACAAATACTTGTGCATAGTCAATAAAACACATCTGGGGTCTTAAAGGCTTAAAGATAAACAAGCGGCCAACTAGCGCAGAAGCAACAAAGCCCACATGGAAGAAGCACACCAGCATGTGTGACCACGAGCTGTCGAAGGGATCGGGTGCCAGGCATCAAGGAACAAGAAATTATGTCATTGAAGAGGTAGATGAGTGCAGAGTGGAGACTCAGAGGCCATCGGTTGACAACTGAACACTCCACACCCCCCTGCTGAGGGGTTTTGGGAAGGAGACAAGCTAATCAGGGTGCAGGGTAGCAACGATGAAACATATAACTTTCCTCTAGTTCTTAAATGCTTCTTTTCCCCCTAATAATAATGATCCCAATTCTGCCTTGCAAATCTGGCTAGACCAGAGGATGTACATTGGTACAGATAGGAACTGGAAACACAGGGAATCCAGGATAGATGACTCCTTCAGGACCAGTGATGAGAGGGGCGAGGCCTGGAGGGTAAAGGGAATGTGGGGTAGAAGGGGGGAAACCAATTACAAGAATCTAAGTATAGCCTCCTCCCTGGAGGATGGAAAGCAGAGAAGAAGGCAGAGGGAGATGTCGGGCAGTGTAACTTATGAAAAAAGTATAATAATTTATGAATTATGAAGGGTTCATGAGGGAGGGGGAGGAAAATGAGCAAATGATATTAAGGGCTAAAGTAGAGGGCAAATGTTTTGAGATGAGGGCAACAAATGTACCTATGTGCTTGACTCAATGGATGGATGTATGGACTGTGATAAGAATTGTACAAGCCCTCAATAAAATAATTTAAAAAACAAACACAAATAAACAGAGTTTTGAGCTTGAGCCAAGATCTATTTGATGTCAGCAGTGCTATCCCTTGTTCCATATTGTCATCTGAATTTGGCCTGAATTTCTTAGAGTTCCTTGATGTACGGCTACAACCATTGTAGAATGATCTTCAACAAAATTTACTCGCATGTGATATTAGTAATATTGGATAATTGTCACAATCTGGTCACCTTTCTTTGGATTGGGTACAAATATGGACCTCTTCCAGCTGCTCGGCCAGGTAGCTGTCCTCAAAATTTCTTGGCCTACGTGAGTATGTGGCTCCTCAGCTTGTTGAAATATTCCTATTCTTATTCTGTCAATTCTTGGATTCTCATTTTTCACCATTGCCTACAGTGCACCTTGCATTTCTTCCTTCAGTATCATTGTTTTTTTCTTGATCATATGCTACCTATTAAAGTGGTTTAATGTTGATCTTTCTCCTGAGAATTGTTTAAGTTATGTGACTTTTTTGCTCCAAATATTTTTCTAGTGACTGTCCATCTGCAAGTTGAAAGTCATTGCCTTCAAAGATCTCTATAATTTGATCCAATGACTTTCTAGCCTTTATACCTTCACATCCTCCACATATCGCCCGAGGAAATTTCACTGTTTGTCAGCCCAGTGACACAATAGTCTTCCCAAATGGCTACAAGCATCATAGGCTCTAGGACTGTCTTCTCTACAAAGCTGTCTCTGAAATGAATTGCCCACTTACAATAATTTTTCCGACATGAAACATAGTTAGCAGTTACATTATTTCATGACATGATATTCCTTTTATTATTGTGTATGTCTTATTGTTAGGTGGCTTTCTACATGATCATGACCTATCTATGGTATTTGTGCCCTCCTTCCCCCCAAATATGTGCCAAATTCACTAGCCATGAGTCTTAATAATTTGCAACTATCCTCTACTTTGTGGTATATTATATACCCTCATTTCTGTGGATGGTTAATAAAGCAAGATTAGGTTTTGGTAAAGAGAATTAGGTCATGTTTGCTATGCCAATAAGCAAGATTAGCATATTATGCAGATGACCTTACTTAAATCACCACCTCACTCAAGTTTAAAGGAGCTGTAGTGGCATGGTGATTACAAGCTGCGTTGCTAACTACAGCGTCAGTAGCTCAAAACCTCCAGCTGTTCCTCAGCAGAAAGATGGGACTTTCTACTCCTTTAAGGAGCGACAGTCTCAAAAATTCACAGGGGCAGTTCTACTTTGTCCTGTAGGGTCACTCTGAGTTGACATCGACTGGATGGCAGTGGGTTTTGATGCTCAAGTTAAACCCAAATCACTGCCATACAGTCAATTCTGACTCATAAGATACTGCATGTTACAGCCCTGATTCTTTGTAAGGGAGATTCCCTGCAGCGTGGCCCATGCCACTTTTTATAAGACTGAAGGCAAGACATACGTAGATCAGAAAGGAGTGCCTGGCCCACAGACGCTAAAAGAAGACAATGACCTTTCCTCAGGACCCACAGAGAGAGAAAGCTTGCCCCAAGAGCTGCCACACTGAATCCAGGCTTTTGGCCAAATAAACGATGAAAACCCACATTTATGGCTCTTAAAATTATCCACTGGTGGTATTTCTGCTTTAGTAGTATTATATAAATAAGAGATATAGTTTGCATGAACACTAAATTGCTTGAAAATTGCTTCTCTGTGAAATACCAGCATATTTTTGTTTAGTGTACATAACAGATTCAGGTTAATCCAGGCACACTGCGTTTGGAGGTCTTCATTTTCCTCAATTCAAGCCTTATTTTAAAAGTACCAAATTCTGACAGCACATACAACATTGCATGGACTTGTCGGCATGATCTTGGAGTTGCTGCTCCCTGATGGGAGAGGGGCACGCATGTCTCCAGGCCTGCAGTGTCTACCCAGCAATTTATACAGAAACCAGAAAACACATCCTGAATGAAGACTGAGATCAGGCTCCATAATGCAATCTAAGCTCCGAATGGGGTAAATTTGGGCTCCTCGAATTTAAGATAAAAAAATAAAAAACTATGGGGTTACACTAGATTATATTAGAAATAATCAATTGCTCTTTATTTGAAAACATACTGGACATTTCAGGGAACTGTTTTGAGTTTGAGAAGAGGTGAGACCGTGCCTTATAGAAATGGTTAGCCAGTGACCCCGGATTGTGCTCTAGCCTTTCCTGAGGGCAAACCAGTGCAGTCTTCACATGGAAAAGATAATTTCCAGATACCAGATTAACATTAAAAATGCCGAGGCCCAATGCTTTGATTGTTTTTAATAGACAACTTACACAAATCTTTTGTACTAGGTTTAATAATTAAACACATTGAAAACTACTAATTCAAAGCAAAGCAATCAAATATTGTTACCACTACCGGTGTTCTTTGACTTATTGTATGTAGCAAGAGGCAGAAAATCCAATGCACAGGCTATGAAGCTGCTCTCCTGGAAAGTGCAATACACAGTCATTTTAAAATATGCAATAAAGGTCATACCTGTTGATCTCCAAGGAAATGACTTCTCAGTTGAGCTACGGGGGGAAAAAAAAGAAAAAATCCATTTACTTCAATTGTCAAACAATTTAACTAGGGGCCTAGGCTCTATAAAAATACACGAAAAAAATGGAATGAAAAGACAATGGTATTTTTTTCCAAGTCTATTTTGAAGGCCCCTTGAAGGCAGGATCCAATTTTAACTACATAATTTCCTCCGTTTACACAGTATCTAATTTAAGGGGGAATAAAAAATGTGGTAAAACATGTCTGTAGTTTCTCTCGGCTCTCTGCCTCCCAGGCAACAGAAGGCAGCATGGTGACAACGGGGGGCAGAATATTATAACACAGAAACAAGCCATTATTAAATCCTTTTATTTAGTGTTAGATCACATATATTATCTCCTTTGTATTATTCATAACACCTTTCTGAACAGGTACATAATTATATTTATTTCACAGATCAGAACTCTGGCCGAAGTCTGTGGTGATATATGGAAGAACTGGGATTTGAGCCCAAAGGCCTGAATCCAAAGTCAGAGACCTGAAGCACTGTGCCAATACATACAGCTTGCGATCTTTTTTTTTGGTATCTTGTTTTTGTAACTCACACACATGCACACGCTTAGAGAAATGCCTAGAAAGAAGTCTTGGAAAATAAATATCAAAGTGCTGCCTGGACAATTTAGTCTTTTGGAAACCAGGAAAATTAGAATAGTTTTAGAGTAGTTGTTCATTTTAGAAAGGTGTGTAGGTTAAAGCTTAAGAAAACCCTCTATGACATTGGGCATCCACTCAAGTACTCCCTCAATGCAAGAATACTTTCTTCTATTAAATTGGCATTCTATGATGCTCACCTTCCCGACACAACCGCT